GGCAATGTGCTTCTGTAAAGATTACAGCCAAGAAAACCCTATGGAGTAGTTCTACTTCAAAACATAGGGTCACCATGAGCTGGAATCAACTCCACAGCAGCTAATAACAACAAAGTTCACATAAGAACATGTTCTGAGTTGGAGAAGGCACGCAGATAACATCCACTGAGATACTGATTTTTCTTTTTCCATTTGTACTCATGAAAGTAGTCTTTTTTTTTGGCTGAGGATGTAAGTTGACCTCTCTCATGCTAAATCCGCACATGATGTGACTCCACTGGATAGATATTTTGTGAGAAGGCAGTAAAATTCCAGGAATTAGAAATTTCTTGCTTTTAATAAATAAGTAAGGAACCATGGTGATGCAGTGTTCAAGTGCTCAGCTGCTAAATGAAAGGTCAGTGGTTCATACCCACCAGCCACTCTGTAGGAGAGAGATGTGGCAGTCTGCTTCCATAAAGATTATAGCCCTGCACTTCCTTAAGAAGCTGGAAATAGAAATAACATATGATGCAGCAATCCTGCTACAAGGTGTATTAAAAAAAAAAAAAAAAAACTTGGTGTCTATCCTATAGAGAAGAGCCACGACACAAACATACATTCACACCCATGACTCCACACAGACACAATGTATGCATTCTTTGCAAAAGCAATATTGTTGTTGTTGTTAAGTGCCGTTGAGTCGTTTCTGACTCAGCGACCCCATGCACAGCAGAACGAAACACTGCCCGATCCCGCGCCAGCCCCACAATCCCTGCTATACTTGAGCCCATCATTGCAGCCACCATGCCAATCCATCTCGTTGAAGGCCTCCCCCTCTTTCGTCGACCCTCCACCCTACCAAGCATGACATCCTTCTCCAGGGAATGGTCCCTTCTTACAACATGACCAAAATAGGTGAGACGAAGTCTGGCCATTCTTGCTTCCAAGGAGCATTCTAGCTGCACTTCCTCCGGGACAGATCTGTTAGTTCTTTTAGCAGTCCATGGTACTTTCAGCATTCTTCGCCAGCACCACAACTCAAAAGCATCAACTCTTCTTTGGTCTTCCTTATTCACTGTCCAGCTCTCACATGCATACGAGGCGACTGGAAATATCATGGCTTGTGTCAGGCGTACCTTAGTCCTCAAGGAGATATCCTTGCTCCTCAGCACTTGAAACAGTTCCTTCGCAGTTGACTTTCCCAATGCTACACGTCGCCTCATGTCCTGACTGCTGCTTCCGTTGGCATCGATTGTAGAACCAAGCAACATGAATTCCTTGACAACCTCAATCTTCTCTCCATTTATTGTGATGCTGCTCATTGGTCCAGTTGTGAGGATTTTTGTTTTCTTTATATTGAGACGTAATCCATACTGCAGACTGTATTCTTCAACCTTCATCAGTAGGTGCCTTAAGTCATCCTCACTTTCAGCAAGCAAAGTTGTATCGTCTGCATATCTCAGGTTGTTAATGATTCTTCCTCCAATCCTGATACCACGTTTTTCTTCATATAGTCCAGCTTCTCGGATTATTTGCTCAGCATATAGATTGAATAAGTGTGGAGAAAGGATACAACCCTGACGCACTCCCTTCTTGATTGCAAAAGCAATATGGAGAAAATAAAAATAGATACAACAAGGAACAGTTCACATTTCCTCCTTTAAAAAACTCACTGCTGTCGAGTTGACTCGAATCATAGTGACCCCTCCTTTGGTTTCCAAGGCAGTATCTCTACGGAAGTAGATTGCCTGATCTTCCTTCTGAGCAGTGGCTGGTGGGTTTGAACCATAAGCTGTCTGGTTAGCAGTCAGGTGTCTTAGGCACTACACCACCAGAGCTCCCAACTAGAGGGTAGACAAGTATTAACTTGGGTGAAGAGAAAGGCAATATTCAATAAAGGGTAGGTCAACACAAAATGATCAAACAAAGGAAGACACTAAGAGAAGCACAAGAGTTAAAGGCAACAGAGGGAAATACTATTACATACCCAATCCTTCAATAACAGTAATACGATAATCTATGAGTGGATATACAGACATGCAAGCTGAGCAGGTGGAAGGTGAATGGGATTATACTCATCAATATATACAAGTTTGAAGGAGGGTATTTCTATATATATATATTCATATGTGCTGCAAATCTATCCATGAATATATTAGCACATACAGGAGCTAAGTTATGAAAACTTCTCAGCCATAATCAAACACCATGAGGGAATAAGTTGCTGGGCCTGGGGCTCAGGAGCACAGTCTCAGTGGACATCGTGGTCAACTGGCATAACAGTCCACAAAGACAATGTTCTACTTCCTACTTAGCTGAGTAGCAACTGAGGTCTTAAAAGCTTGTGAGTGGCCATCTAAGGTATTGGTCTCTCTGTGTCTGAACCAAAGAAGAGTGAAGACAATCAAGGAAACAATTAGTTCAAAGGACTAAGGGTCCATGCAAGCCCCACGCAAACCCTAGCATCCACAAACTTGAGACCAGAAGAACTAGATGGTACCAGCTACCACTACTGACCAATCTGAAAGGGATCACAATGTTGTTGTTGTTGTTGTTGTTGTTGTTGTTGTTATGTGCCATCGAGTCGGACCGACTCATAGCGACCGCTCCTTGGGTTTCTGAGGCAGTACTGCTATGGAAGTAGATTGCTCCATCTTCCTTCCAAGAAGTGGCTGGTGGGTTTGAACTGCCAGCCTTCTGGTTACCAGTCAAGTACCTTAGGCACTATGCCACCAGAGCCCCAGGGATCACAATAGGTGGTCCTAAATAGAGTGATAGAAAAATGTGGAAAAAAACTCAAAATCATTTAAAAAGACCAGGCTTACTGGTCTGATGAAGTCTAATAGAACCTCCAAGACTATGGCCCTAAGACATGCTTTAAGCCATGAACTAAACTCAACTCCGGTGACCCAATTTTCTGCCAAATGACAGACAGGTATATAAGGTAAAGAGTAACACCAAAGAAGCAGGTACTCACTCCTTAGAACAATCAACCATATAAGATTAGAAAGTAGGAAGGGATATGAAAGAAGGTGGTAAACACAAGGGAGGAAGGGGGAAAAGTGCTGTTACACTGTGAAGATGGCAATTAATGTCACAAAACAAAATGTGTAGGAACTGGTGAATGGAAAACCAATGAGCTCTGTAAACTTTCACCCAAACCACAATAAAAAGTCAAAATAAAAATAAGAAAGAAAATCCTATAGGGTTACTATGAGTTGGAATCAACTCCATGGCAATGTATAATAAGTAAGTGTGAGCTTTACTCCAGGCTTGATTAATTAAAATGCTTGAGCTCATTTTACAACTTTTAAATAGAAATAGCAACATTAAATAATGATAACTTTACTCCTCAGAGTAAACGTGAATAATATCAACAGGACTAACTCAAAACTCACTGCCGTCGAGTCTGATCCGACTCATAGCAACCTGCCCTTGGGTTTCCGAGGCAGTATCACTACAGAAATAGATTGCCCAACCTTCTGAATCAATAGGATGGACACACATTTTTCTGTTGATGAACTATATGTTTACTGGAATAAACATTGGGTGGCACTCTTGCCTTTGTAGCATAATTCACACAAGCCTTTCCCTCCTATCTATCTTCCAAAGCAAATTAAAGTTAAAAATAGTGTTATTTACTTATTGTTAATAGATGCTAGCAATACATTTTCTGGGACCACAAGTCTATGGAGATCTACGCTGAAAGCAGGAGATTAATCTAGCTATCAAGCTTGCTGCCATCTTACTTTTGTTTACATGGACAGATATTTACAAATATATTCTCTGAAGCCCTAGAATCCGAGTAGTCCTTACGCCTACAAAATCTCACACAGAAGAAAGTGGCTCCGAAAAGCTTGGCAGGCCTCCGCTCTGGGATGCTGCTGAAAAAGGCTTGTTTTTTGCTGTGTCTACCTATAGTCTTTTGTCCAATAGCCAACAGAGCTCTCTATCGATGAACACCACAATAAATAGGGCCCTGGCATGTGTGCAGAAGGAACTCTGGTAGTGTAGCAGTTAAGGGATTTGGCTGCTAACCAGAAGGTTAGTGGTTCAAACCCACCAACTGCTCTGTGGAAGAAAGATGAGGCAGTATGCTTCCATAAAGATTTACAGCCTTGGAAACCCAAAGCAGGTTGCTATGAGTCAAACTCAACTAGAAGGCATTAAGTGAGATGTGCAGAGAGCAGTCTAGTGACAGTCTAGTGGAGCTGCCCCCTGCAGTTCCTGTGTGGCCTTCTGCAAAGTGCCTGCTGGGTGGTCTTAAGCAACTTTCCCTTCCCCCAGTCAAACCAGAAAAGTAAGATCAGATAACAATTTCATAACCTGGTGATATGCAAGTCCAGCTAAACCCTGCAGTATTTTCCTCTTAATCCTGACATATGGATTTTCCTTGGGTGATCCTAAACAATTGGTCCCATCCATTCTTTGCTCTCAATTTTTCATTAAGGAATCTGAATTTTAGATTCTTTGTCTCTCTAAATATAGTCACAGTTCCAGAGGCACCACAAAGAGAACAAACTCTTAAGAGGTACATTTATACAAGACTGTGCCTAAAATTATTCAGTTTGCACATCTACACAGAGTTTAACATAACATAGGTCTGGATTTTCTTACTGTCTGGACTCGTGTCTACACTTTTTGAAAGTATGTTGTAATTTGTGTATCATTATAACCTAAAAAGTTACTGTGTGTGTATGTGTGTGTGTGTGGGGTTATAGTATTTTTAGCCATAAAGCAGTTAAAAATTCATTCAGGATAGGATTTTTTTTTCCCAGTTCCCACTGAGTCAATTCTAACTCATGATGACCCTATGCATGCTGGAATACAACTGTGCTACACGAGCTTTTCACTGGCTGATTTTTTAGAAGTAAATGGCCAGATCTTTCTTCTGAGGTCCCTCTGAGTGGACGGACTCATGAACCGCCAACCCAGACTCCAAAAACAGGAAAATGAAAAAGTTGAGGCCTACAGTCATTGCTTCTACTAACGACACTCTCCAGAATAAAGTGACATACCAAAGCTATTGAGTTTCTCAATCCAGGTGGCTACAGTGGGTTCTATATCCTTAAGCTCACTCAAAACATGAAGAAATATTCTTGTCTTCACTCTATTTTTTTCTTCAACCAAGTAATGAATGACAAAGTCCACTGCTTCACTGAGAAAATTTCTGCTAGAAAAATATGTTATGTAGTCATCCACGCTTAAAACCTTCCAAGAAAGCAGTTCCTTCATCATCGAGGAAGTATTGAGTATACCAGACTTGATCTTCTCAGAGTACTGCTTTATGCATTGTAGAATTCTGTCATTAAGGAACTGGCAAGCCTGGGCATTTCCTTCAGGTCCTAAGGATAAGTAACAGTGGTCAGTGAAAGGGACAAAGAGAACCAACGTGCAGATATAAACACAGAAATAATGCACCATTACATAACCATGTATTACTCAGTTACACTATTCTTTATGTTGTTTTGCAGGAATTTTAAATAAGGAGTATAAACACTTAAAATTACTTTGAAAAACCCTAATATTCACACTAAGCCAAACCATTAAAAGAATAAATGTCTTATATCTTTCACTCTGTATCAATCATGTAACATCTAAAAACTTAGCTCCTCTAAAATAAGGTTTCCATAAAGTCACATGCCTCAATACTAACCCAGCCTCACCAATTATCTAAATTTTATATTCAATAAATGTTTATTCATTAAGCACGGGAAGTTAAAATACAAAATACATCAAACAATTATCAATTGGAAAGAATATTTTGATTGATTTGTGAAACAACAATGGAATACTACATGAAAAATAAAGTAAGTAGTAAAATATTGCATGTTGGAAAAAATTAACAGTAGAAAGGGAGGCAAATTTCAACTCAAGACTGAAAATAAAATAAACATACCAACCTATGTACATGAGAATAAGTAAAATTACTGATGAGATGCTTCTGTGTCAATCAGAGAATGTTGTTAAGCAGAGCTTACAACAGAGAGCTGGACTGGGTAATTGCTACAATGCCTTTTATGAACTGCCTTTTTATTCAAACTCACCATTATTTCAAAAAATTTGTAACTCATTTACCATTTGACAGTTTGAAACTTAAACCCATATATAGTAGCATTTACACAGCATTTCAAATACACAATAAGCAGATCTGATATTATTATTTTCACGTTATTTCAGAGATGAGGAAACTGAGGCAAGAGTTTGCCCAGAGTTAGTGGCAAGGTAGCATTCTGAATCCCTGGAAACTGCTTCTAAAACTAGTGCTCTTTACACCAATCCTCTCACCATCTGGGAGTAACAGAACATGGTAATAGTATTAAAAAAGGTAAACTGAAATCTAAATTTCAATTCAATGTCAATTAACATAAGGTCCAATAAGATATGCCAATGTTTACATGAAAGTTTATATTCATATTTTTAAATAAGAACACATCATTTTTATAATGCCTTCAACTCCTGCATACCTTTTTTCTTTTCATTTTGGGGTGGATTACTTTCTCTTAAGTCCTCTTCCAGTCTTTGTTTTGCTAATCTTATTGCCTCTTCTTTTTGGGTTTTTCTCTTCACTTTTTTCTCTTCTTTCTCTTTTAGCTTCTCTAGGCTGATAAACATTTAGGATTAGTGATAATTCACCTCATTAAAAAGCTCATTAAACTATTCTTGTTTGCCTATTATAGAAACCATTCTTCAAGCAGCAGGTTAGAAGTGTTCCTTTTTACTTACAACTTGCCTTGCATCTTCTGTTCAGTACCAACAATTGCTGACATAGTCAACACAGGTAAAATAAAGGCACTTGTTTCATGAAAACAAGACCTTCAATCATTAAGTGACATCTAACTAGGTATGGCACATACAGATTATGTAGATGTTATTTCCACGTATATAAGTTATCTCAATGTTAACAGGCATAGTACAAATTACTCTGAAAGGTAATACATGTGAATGCTTGTTTCAAAGAACAATCTCATTCTAAAATATTATTTTCATATTTTAGTAACAGTCCACCACATCAGAATTTGGTTGATCTGGTTACAATGAATGCTCTCCAGAAAATAATTCTGCTCATCTTTTCTTTTGCTTTTTCTTGGTCATGGATAATTTTTAAAAAAGAAATGTAAGAAACAAATCACTTCTTAGAACAAAAAACAAAAGCAGGACCAAAAAGAAAAGAAAACGGATTGGTATCAGTTGATCTGAACAAGAAGATACAAAGAAGAGAATAATTTTGACTGTCACAATCCACTGAGTATTTTAAAAGTAAGAAATGGTCATGGATTCAAAATGTCTGCTGAAGAGAGACAAAGAAGAAAAATGCTTTTCTATGCATATAATTTTTATTTAAATGCCTATTCATTAAACATCTAACTTCACCGTATCAAATGTCACATTTTACTTACAACTCTAACCACTAAATAATGCTTCTGATTCAAGTTTTGAGTATTTAACAATTCTAGGTTAGTTTTAAATACCCACAAAATTCATTCAAAAATCTCTTATTTGGATATATGATATATGTACGTGTGGAAAGCCAATTTAAAAAAGCAGCATAATTTAGAAATCTGCATTTAATGAGTTATATTCTAAGAGACATCATTAAACCGATGGTTAAAAATCTTACCTAGAACATTTCTGTTTCAGAATAGGTCTTGGAGGAAACTTTTCTTTTATGACCTTGTGTTCAAACTTTAAATAAAACAAAGACATCCAAAATTTGTCTCATACTCCCATGACATAAAGCACAAAATCACAAGTAACAAGTATTTCCGAAGCACACACGATGTTCAATTTGAAAGAGAACAGTGATGACATTCTGACCCAGACAAAAAAGCCCAGAAATGTTTAGCAAAACATTTACTGAAAAGAGGAGTAAGAGTAGACAAACTTCAGGAAGGAGCAAAAAATAAATAAATAAAAATAAGAGTAAGCAGAAGATCAGATACAAGTATCATTACAACTACCCACTCCTGTCAGTCTCATATAATGAAGGAAATCCTTCATGACACTCCTCCTTCTCCCTAGAATCCACACCCCTATTACACCCAAAATAAGAAAACAAAGTTATCCAAAAATAAAAATAAAAACAATAAAACCAAAATGTAAAATGCCTCCATTTCCTATTAGGAAATAAAAGAATGTGAGAGTGCTTCATTTCAGCACAGCATTTGAAAACCCTAGTTTCTGGTTTGAATATTTCCTGTATTTTCTTAAATTCAGTAACTATTTCTTTCTTTTCTGGAAAATACAAGATCCAAATCACACAACTTCCATTACTTTAAATCACATTTTAAAAGGCATGAGCATTTTGGTTATCAATTTAATATGATATCCCCCTATTAGATACTTACTTCACATTTAACACCACCTTTACAGTTGAAGACAGTAATCTTACAAATGATACCTTGGCAGTCAGGGGTAAGACAAGCTGTATTTAGAAAGTCCTATATGGTTTGAAAAAAGAAGAATGTATGTGTCAAGGGGATAAATTTATACATATATATCATTTTAACCATCAGGAATAGTCAAAATATGGTCTACAACCTTCCTCAGGGTGGCAATGGAAGGCACTGTCAATCATCATGTGACTTTCAGAGCTTCCCTGTAGAAGAAACGTATCTGGTGCAGGGCTGACCCTGTGACTTGCTGTGTCCAATGCAAAGTGAACTGATATGAAGTCACCATGTCTTTGCAGAAACTTTAAGAAATACTGCCTGGACTAGCCACTGCACTTTCTGATTGCCACAAGAACATGTCCCAGATAAAGGCCACTCTTCAACCTTGATTTAGAGATGAAGAACATAACCACACAGAATAGACCTGCTATAGCCCAAACACAGCCAACAACTGCAGAATTGCAGGACAGGTGATATGAGCAAGAAATGAATTTTTCATACATAAGCCATTGAGATATCTGGGTTTTATGTCGTATATCATAGCGCAAACTAATTTACAGAAAGTATTTAAAAACCAAGGATGAGACCACTAAGGGAGAGTTGTTCCACCTAGAGAAACTTACTTTAAGACACACCAGCAGTGATTCAATGGCAATAGTAATTTGGTCATATCATATCTTCAATTAATGATATGAAAATGTAGTAATTTATTTTTACCAAACTTGAATAATTCCTATTACTGCCAGACATTGGGAGCTCAGGTAGCCTAGTGCCTAAGGCATTTGACGGCTAACCAGAAGGCTGGTGGTTCAAACCCACCAGCCACTCTTTGGAAGGAAGGCTGGGCAATCTACTTCCATAAAGATTCACCACATGGGAAACCCAAGGGGGTTGCTATGAGTTGGAACTGACTTGATGGCAGTGAGGTTTTTTTTTTTTTTTTTTTAAATGGGGACTACTAGCCACTCCTCGGAAGGAAGGTTGGGCAATCCTACTTCCATAGTGATACTGCCTCGGAAACCCAAGGAGGGGTCGCTATGAGTCAGG